AACGCTGCTGGTGTTTTGTGAGGAGCATGATTCACTAATTATAAGTATGTTCCTTTCTCGGGGCTCCTGCTTCATCTCCCACCCCTCGATTCCAATCCTCTTCCCCTCCCACCCCACAGTAGCATTGCAGACAGATCAGAAGTTTATGGGTATTTTGATAAGAAACACTGTCAGACAGCGAACTAGAAATCGGAACTGGTCAACCTGGATGGAGTTGGGAGACTAACAATGAGTGTTTCTTGCTTTTCTGTCATATTTTTTTCTGCTTGCTTAAGTATGTTTCTTGTTTAGATCAGGGAGGTGTGCGCTGCAAAGTCGTTTGAATTATGTTTTAACAGGAATCGACTCCAAATATCTTTTCTGTACAGTTCTGCCACTTTCTTCTACAGTCTGCCAGTGTGCAGACCACGTTTCCTGGTCGTGATGCTATAGCATCACTGTGACAATGACAGCAGCTACTTACATGAAATACTAAAATAGGTAAAGGCTATCACATTATCTAATTGTCATACAAGTATTTATTTCATATCTTATTTCACGTTCTCATTCATGCTTTAATCTCCCTGGTTTATGATGCTGTAGGTGTTCTTTTTGATTTTTCTCTCATAACCTTCAGGCAAAGACAGATAAAATTTTAGAGCGTCAAATAAGAGATGTGCATTGTGGTCAGATCAGACTACTTGGGGAATCGGCTCTGCCGCTGATTTGCCATATTGTTGTACACTAAGTTCTCTGTGCCTAGTAAAAGGAGGATAAATATTTATCATGCACATTCTAAAGCAGTGCTGTGAATCAGTGTTTATGAAAAAAAAAAAGGCGCTATGTAAGTACTCTTAGCAATAGTAATACTACTTTGATTCCTTCCTGCTCTTCTGGGTGACTGAGTATTTGAGCCTTTGGTAGCTCTGGATATAATTATACTCTGAATCTTCTAGAATACTGCTATTTGTAGTAATCGCATCATAACTCATTAGCATTTCTTCACCAATTTCTTCTTGAGAAATCTGCATATGATATGTCTTTGGCTCTGTTTTCCCAAAATAAGACTGGTCGAACCTATTCCAAATTCTAATGCAAAATGAATGGGTTTTGAAAACTGTAAGTGCTAAGGGAGCATTTGGGAGGATGAAGTACTTCTGGGAAAGAAATTTTTCACAAAGTAAAAACTCAGTGGTACTTTATCCCTCTGTACTCTCATTTTACCCCCATTTGCCTAAGACTTGTTCAAGGTAAATTCTCTCTCCAAGGAAGTTTCTTGCTGACTTCAGGTTTTTTTTTTTTTTTTTTCCCAATTCTATAATAAAATATATTGGTAAAAGATTAAGATTATGAAGCTAAAGGTAGAAGAAACCTGTTCAGATTATGTTCCTCAAGTTATTTTTCTCGCAGTGTTGTGACAAAGAATATGTCACTTCAGGTGCATTGAACCTCTACAGGAAAAGGCTGAAATTCAAAGTTTGTCTGTAAGGTTTAATGAAACTATTATCTTGGTGATATTTTGTTTAGGTTGCCAGTCAACTTTTTTTTTTTTTCCTGAAAGCAAGTTAATCAGTAGGCTTTGGGAACTGAAGAGTTGTCTTCATGTGAAGTGGTTCCTCTGGCATGCTGGTGGGTAGTGAGGGAAGTCTGTGATGCAGGTTGCTGCGGCGTAGAAAAAGGATGATAGTTTAAGTGGCTGACAGGTACACGAGTAATGAAACGATTTTGAGAGGAATTGCTCACCATAGGCTAAAGAAGGTCATTTTAAAGGGGAGAACAGAGAATGACACGTGCAGTTTGGTTGTTTAGTCTTTTGTTCATTGTGTGCATCTTGAATGCTGTCATTACTCATCCCTTCTGATATCGTCTAGAACACCCACTTAATTAGCTGTGCGCAGCCCATCTAAATAAAACCAGTACCTTTTTTTTTTTTTTTTTTGGAATTAGTTTTCTAGTCACACTATAGATCCCTTACCTAACGCTATTAATTTCCAGTACCTAACACTATTAATTTCCAGTTAGATTAATAAAATTGCCCTTTTCTGAAGATGCAGATTGTACAACCAAATTTTCAATAATAGGCCTTAATTAAATTACCAAATAGCTACTGGAACGCTTTGCCTTCAGAGTTATTGTCACATACACTTCAGTGCTGCTTCTTTTGATGACTTGATTAGTATGAACAATAGGAACTAGGGGAATGCAATAGGGGTTGAATATATGCATACAGGCTACAGTTATTTAGTCCCGATACAAAGCCCAAACAAACCTGTTTTGTGCAGGGAATTAATTTGGAAGATTAGTTTCTGCCTGGCTGAATCCTAGTTTCATAGGTGTGATTTACACATGATCAGTAATAAACATCTTCCTTTCGAGTGCTGTAGCTTTTTTAAACTTGGACAAAAATATTCTTGTCATGCCAAGTAATTTACTTGGCAGTACTGACCTGTATAGAAAGCTACGTCATGTTTTTATTTCAGTGATGCTCTTTTGTGGAAGGATTTAAGACGGCATATGGTACCAAAATTCTGGAAATTGTTGTCCTTCCAAAAGCTAAAATTTGTGAGATTACTATGTAGGGTTGAGGTTTTTGTAACTGTGCCTGAAAAACACAGAGGTGTTGCCCCAGTGGTGTTCTTTAGTTTGTAACTGAACATTTGAGCAAGTGGCTTATTTTAAAGGAAAAACTGTGCGTTTAAGGGGTAAAAGGACAAATCTTGAATTGGAACCCCATCTTGCAAGTGAAGAGGGCTGCAATTTCCAGGCTGAGTTTAAGGGTTACCTGTTGTTCACGGGCAGAATTTGGGCTTTGCCAGTGGGTCTTGGCAGTCTCCTGACTTAATGCTCTTTAAAGGCAGGAGAAGTTCAGCTTCTCTTTAGCTCTGCATGTTCTCAGGCTTAGCAAGGCTGAAAATAAGCTCTTCACTGGATGCTTGGATGCCTGGTAGTTGGGAATTAGAGGGAAGACCCAAACTCTCTCTCCGTAGGTGACAACCCAGCCACTGTGGTGGTGCCTCCTCAACACGTGAGTCAGAATTCAAGGGGTTTTCCTCAGCTTATCTCTGAAATTTGTAAATTCACTGTCTCCGTGGTATAATTAATGGCTTCTTAGGAACATAAGAGATGGATAAAGATTCATTTGTGATGGCTGTAATTTATATTTTTGTAGATGGATTGAAGATGTTATGTTTTGTAGAAATCGCATTCAACTGAGGTGCCATAAGAATGAACTCACCTTTCTAAAGTTCCAATATGGACTAGCAGTCTTGCAGTAAATTAAAAAAAAAACCCACCAAGCTTTTATTCACATCTTTCCAGCTTTTTAGGGCATAAAAAGAATGAAACAGAATTCACGTGTCAACTTAGCTAATGTAATAGGTGATATTCACATTTAAAAAAACCAATCTCAAATGTGGAATTTTGCATGTTTCTTTTACATAGAAACAGGTCTGTGTTCTGGACTTTTCTCTAAGTTTGTGTTTTTTTTTTTAAGAATGTAATTAATGTCGTCATGAAATTCATGGCTTGAGGTGTTTTTTTTTTTTATGATAAAGGTTGCAAATGGTATGCTCAGTCCATCAAAGTAGATCTGTGCTACTGAATGGAAGTTTCCAAATGAATGTTAGACTAATTTATCAGAAAATCTATTTATAAAAAAAAGGTAGTTGTCCCTGGAGGGCTTCATCACTGAAGGCACGGATCCAACACTATTACAGTTATTCATGTAGAAGACAAGCTTCTGGGAAATAATTTTTTTTTTTTCTCACTTGACCCTCTCATTTTCTCAGGCTGGAACCTTTTACTCCTGCCCTTCACACGTTGCTTGCCCATGTGATGGGCTGTTGTATTTCTCATGGCAGGCAGATACAGAATTCACAGTACAGGAGGAGGTGGCAGGGAGCTTCCCCCTGCCCCTGCTTTGATCACATACCCCCACTTGCTGCCATGGCCACTGAAAAATATACCTCCAAGGCTAGCCTGGCTTTTTAAAATATTATTATTAGTGTGTTAAATTGGAACTAGAGTTGACATGAGGAAGAGGATGAGGGCATAGAGGAGTATTAAAGAGATGGGGGAACTACAAGCCTGTCTTCTGGCTAAGGCTTCATGTTAAATTGCTGCATTAATAATATTACCTGATATTCTCCAGTGCTAGTCTCTAGTTTTGGTGTTTGTTTGTTTTTTTTTTTAACTACTTTCCTGGAACACTTTTGTTTGGGCTGTACCTTGGTGTTCCAGAAATGCCTGTTTTCACAATTATATACCATTATGTTTGAACCTGGCTGCCTATCTTGTCTGGGGAAAGCTGTTAGAGTCTCTGTGACCTCAGGCATGGGATATTATAGAACAGAAATTTCATTCTGACTTCAGACCAGCTTCCTCTGTTACCTCGTGGGGAAAAAAAATGTTACAGCTGCTTTTCTAGGCAGAAGTCCAATTTAACTTCAAGTCATGCCCTCGAAGTATGTCAGGTATTGCTAAATTATAATATAGAAATCAACCTAGACTTGCTTTGTTACATACATCAGATGGATTTTGAAATTTAGTTTATAACATTGATTTAAAAAAACCCCAACCTTCTTCTTTTAGTAAAATAATAAATACAAAAAAAAAATTACTGTTAAAAAATCCAGCAAACACTGTTAGTAAACCCGATGCCTGACTTTGATCAAGGTGATGAGGCTTTTCGGTATTTTGTGATTTACTAGGTGCTGCACGTACATGGGTTGGAAATGAGAAATAAATTTCTGGCCCTCAGAAATGATTGGCTAATGTGCAGAAAATCACGCTTACTGTTTTTGGGGATCTAAAGTGACAAAAACCCTACTTCTTTTAGTTAAGTTTGGGTCGCTGAATGGAATTTAGGTCACTGCCTAAAATACATTGAGGTAGATGCCCAACTTTCGGCATTGGGGATGGCTGGAGTATTTTATATATTTCAGTGTCTGTTACTTATATACACACACACGTTGACCTATTGAGACGTTATTTTTTTTTAAAACACATATTGTTTCTTTTAGCCTATTGCAACAACTCCACCACGTCATGGCTGGAAGGAGGACTCCTTAAGCCACAGCAGCAGTGAAACGCAGGCGTCGGTGACCAGTGGGATCTCCCTAGGAGAAGCAATACGTCAGAAAACTGCTATTAACTGGGTATTTCTACCGTGCTTTGTTTTGCTTGAGGTTGAAGGTTAATTATGTGATTGCAAATAATATGAAGTGCTTTATCTGTATAATTTAGACCTCCACCATCCTTGCCCTGTAAAGGTGTGTGTTTCTCGATCCTTGAACTGCAGAAAAAAAAATAGGACTGCTGTGAAGGCTGACAAGTCATCTAGTCTAGTCTTGATCCAAGTGCTACAAAGCTTTTTGACATTTATCATTCAAAACTGAATCCCCAGTAGTTCAGCGGTTTTGTTTATTTGTTTATTTTTCACTGCCTTTCTGTTTTGTCCTTACAAACCTACTATATTTTCCACTGTAATGTTTTCTTCTTTGCAACAGTATCTCTGATCTGCATTCACTTTCTAATTTGCTACAATCCTGGTCCTGCTACTGCCTCTTAGATTGTCAGATCTGTCTGCCTCTGAAACTGTCAGATCTGTCTACCTCAAAATAGCCAATTTACATGTTAGCACAGAGCCGTGCTTCGGTTCACGTGAAATCTGACTACTTTTAGACCTCGGTTTTAATGACGTGTTCCATATGTGATTAAGGCAAACTGTACTGACATCATGGTACAGTCACAGTAGTTCTAGCTGATGGATATGCTGCTAAATGTTTACTCTGAGAATTGCATAAGATCACAGGTGTTTTGAAAAAGACGGAGTTGATAAAAAAATTTCATTTCCAAACGATTATAAGAATATTGTGCAAAAATGATAGTCCATACAGCAAAATTCAGATGTGAAAAATAGCTTTTAATACCTTAGTAATATTTCAAAATCTAGAAGAGCTTGCAGCATTAAGTAGGGTTAGTACTGTACTTCTGCCAGTTCACCGGGAGGCTTTCTTGCTTATATTAACGTAAATGTAATTATAGGTTATATATGCTGCTGATAATAGTTTGCCATATAAATGATTGATATTCTTAATTCTCTGCACTGAAGACTGGTCTGTGCCTTTTCCATAATTAAAATTTATCTGTTTAATTACTCCCCCAGTAATCCCAATGCAAATTCTTTAATGAATTATGTGAACTAAAGATGCTTCTTTTCATTTGAACATGATCTGAAAGTCTTTTTCTTAAAATATACCAAAGAGTTGGCTAAGATTCTCAGGCATTATCTCTGTGAACTCAGAATTTATGTAACTAGAAACTTTCTTTAAAGGCAAGTCAGAAAATGTTCTGCTTGTTGCTCCGCAGTTGTACAGTGCAAACCATCTTTACTATGCAGTGTCAGGAACTGGGTTGGCCCAGCATCCTACTAAAGCATTTGTCCTTAACCAGATTTTTCTTTCTAAGTGACAAATTTCATTCTGTTTAGAAAAAGTCTTCTGGGGTGGATATCTCCAGGATTTGGAGAAGGAGCTCAGTTTTAGTCAAGTGGTGGAAGGCTGGTGATCAGATAGTGAGCGGTGACAACTTGGGCAGTAGTGAGAACTGATTTGTGGACTTCAGCAGTTCACAGAGCATTGTAATTCATCTCCATTAAAAACTGAGTATTTGTATAGGATATACAATTTAGAAGGAATGATTCCATTGTTTCACAACTTAGTCCTTATTTCCTTTGTAAACATGGCTTATAAAACTTTCTTGATGCTTGAGCACTTTTTCTTTTTTTTTTTTTTCCCTCCTTGCCTATTAGGGAATTGACTCATGGTATCAACTTCCACCAGAAGTGGATGCCAGCCATTTAACTGCTGCCTCAGAGACCAAGCTTGGCCTGACTTGTGACAGAAATGACCTGACGGAGTTCCCTACGCTGGAGGAAGGAGTGTTGCCTTCAGCAGAAGCATCTAGAAGGCAGTCTCCTGGAAACAGAGCACATAGCTTACTGCTGAGTATGTTCAAAACTGCCTTTTGTTTAACTGCTAAACAATTAGGATTTTGCTTTTCTGTTAAAATCAATCCCTAACCTGGATTTGACTTCTTTCAGTGAGAACTGGTGTCTACAAAATACGTTCTGTGTCCTTTCTTTGCAAAGCCCATCTTCAAAATGAGATAGAGGGCTTCTGTACCTTCCCTGGATCTTTTAGCAGGGGAACCAGTTACCTTGTTTTCCTTCAGAATTAATAGTAAATAGGGCGCTCTCTAGGTGAGGTGATAGTTCTCTGTGTCATTAAAGTCTGTATTAATTTCATAGTCAAAAATATTTTTTAAATTTCAAAATACTAGATATAATAGTAAAGTAGATAGTTGCACTGATAACTTTAAAAACGATTTGATAAGAGTGTGTGCATGCCTGCACCCCTTTTCTCACGTATTCAAACTACTGCGTACTGCTTCTGTGTTTCACTGCTTCTTATAGGATCTCTTTATAGACAAAGTAATCTTCAAATACAGTTTTCAAGGTATTCAAGGTATTGAATGCTTTTTTCAAGATATTGAAAAAGAGGTTTTTCAATAGCCCTTTACAAAGGTATCTTATAAGTGTTAGTGCTCTTTAATCAGTATATGTATTCCTTTTCAGATAAGAGGAACAACTGAGAAATAATAGCTAGAATTACTGTACTACTGCAAGATTCAACCCAAACTATCCAGATAAAGGGAATTACTTATGTAGGAAGTTAGCGTAACAAAGGCTACATGAAAGGGGAAGGTGGTGATTATTTACAAAATGTCTAAGTTGATGTTTACCTGCTTTGACTGTTGCACTCACAAGCACCAGCTCTTTTTCTGTGGGTTTGGTTTTTTTTGTTTGTTTGTCAGAGCACAGGACCTTCTGCCGATGAGTTCTCTGTTCTGGTGCTCTAACACAAGTTTATACACACATTTTTACTTCGCTCACATCAATATTAATATCTCTGTTACACGTCCTTAAATTTTTCTCTGGGCTTGGACAATACCTGTATTGACATGTACCACATCAATATGGGTATTGATCGTCTGGGCCTCAGGATGTTTTTTCAATTGCTGTGCTATCTGCAGTGGTGTTAATCATAGAGCTAAGATGTGAAGGCCCGTGTGTGGTCTATTACAGATTTTATCATTGGCAGTGCAATTTGAAATGCAAAAAAACCCCAACCTGTGAGGTGTTAAAAACCTAATTGTAATACAGCTGTGAGCATCCTTTAAGAATAATACACCAATGGTGAATAGTTAGGGTTTCTGCATCACTTAAGTGTCATAGTGGTTGGTTTTCTAACATAATACAGAGTTTTCTGACTTGGTGTTTCCTTGTACTTCTTGTTCTATTTATTGTGATTCACCAGTAAGTTTGTTCCAGCCTTACCAGTCCCAGTGTAGCATTCTTCCACGTTATATAATTCTGATGTATAATATCAGAATATATAATTTGATAGAATACTTGCTGAATGACATGGGTGGACACCGTATATATTTCAGCCTGGATATATACAGAAAGGATGTTACTGTTTTTTCCACGTGAGGTTCAGCGTTCTGATGTGATTCCTAGCAGGCTGAGTACAGGGAAAGAACGTGCATGCAGCCATTTCCAGTCTCAAAGGTGAGAGAAACATTAACTGCTAATTGCAGGGAGTGGTTGCTGCATTCAAGTTCAGCATTCTTCAGGCTGTATTCATGTAGGACAGATGAATTTGTTCTAACTCCATTTTTCATAACATGTTTTTAGCTCTATTAATACACCATTAGTGATGCATCAAGCTCTCACTTTAGGTATCCAAAGCGACTGATGGATTATTTTTGGTAATGCTAGTGGGGATTGTGCATCTATTATTTGGCAGTCATCTTTATTTTTGACACAAAATATGCTGTTTTTTATTTCTCCTAATGACATGGTTGTATTCTGTTTCGTGCCTGGAATTTACACCAATCTAGGCACCTGGTTTTTGGTTTTCCTTCTCCTCTCCCCCCCATGACTGTTCAGTTGATTTATATTTTTGTGAAAATAAATCACTACTTATAGTGTTTAATATTCTATCAGTAGTCCTTATTTCTACCACTTTCATTTCGGTGCAATTTATATTACTCCCAGTAATACTTTCCAGTTCTAACACCTCTACTTTAGAAAAACTGAGCATTTCTATTGCTTCTTTTCACATCTAATCATCACAGCTTAGCTAAAGATTGCTTTGAGAAGTTTCAAGATTTAATATTTTACCTGTTCACCTTGAGTGAACAGCTCATTTCTTTCTTCACCTCATTCTTTTTCATCTGTGTGGACTCAGTGTGTTCTGGTCAATTCTGGTGGTATCATTTTTAGTCCATTGACAGTAGTATATCTTTGAAAAAGAAAACTTCTCTTTATAACCCAGCAGCATTCTCTGCATTTTAAGACACAAATCGTATTACTGATTCTTTGTAATAATTTCAAATAATCCTCAAAAATGGTGGAAATGGAGATGCCCACTTTCGTCACTCATTGCTGTTAATCATAGGAAACGCATCTGTCCCCAACAAGATAAATCTCTTTCTCTTGGAAATAAAGCTAACTTTTATCAGATCCATTTTTCTTTATTACCTTTATTTGCTTGTATTTTCCTCTTGCTTTTTAACTTCAAGCTTCAGCTGTGGCAGTTAATCTCTAAAGAATTCTTTCTCTTTTTGTCCATGCACATTTAACAACACCAAAATCAGCAAAATCAGAACTAAGCAATGCATAGTTATCCATGCTCATGGCTGAAGCGATTTCCTTTCTCTTCTGTGCTATCTGTGGAAGAGAAAACTAGCCAAAATGTTATCAATAACTGTTTCAGTTACACAGGCTAGAACACTCCCCTTGCTTGCCTTCCTGCAGTTGAGTTATTTCCATTTATTGCGTTTCTGCTTCCTTACACATCCAAGCTACTGTGCTAAACAACTGTTCACCAGACCCCCAGACGTGACTGTTATTCACTGATTCCACTCTTAAATTAGCAGTTGTTGCATTTAGGAACAGATTTCTTTTTTTTTAACTCTTAAAAGCTAGTTCTGACATCAGATTCAGTCATGCACTGTATGTTAACTTTGGCTTTCAAAGTTACCTCTGTCCATTCCAATTGAATTATGAACTTTTCCTGCCCAAACCTTTGTGTATGTGTACTGTAACTCACTGTTATGTCATCTGTTAACTTCTTACCTGCTGATAACACTTATTTTTCTTTATTCTTTACTTTTATCACATGGCACCTAGACTCCTTTTATGTATATACTTAGATACTTCCTTGGAAACACGTAACTACACAATGCTGTTACTAAGCCCAAAGTGTTTCTTTTTGTATTGATATCCCTTAGAGGATCACTTTGCAAAATCAACTGTTACCCCACACATTAGGTTATTTTAGTTGTGACTCACTTTTCCAGGACATAACTGAAATTGCTGAATAAAGATGCTTCAGAAGCTGTTTTCACTGCACCGTTAAGCTAGATTATTTCACAAACAAACAAAGCTATTGCAGGCAAATAACATGATTGCTTGTGATACTTTAAAATAAACCTGTGTTGCTTCCAGTTCAACTTGCAGTTTGTCATTCCTGTACCTGCTTGTGTAATCTTACTTATCTTACTTGTATGTAGGTTGCTTTTTTTTTTTTTTTTTTTTTTTTTTCTTTTTTTCCTGAAGCTAAGCAACTGCTTAAGAGGATGGAGTTGAAATTGCCTTGGGAATAACCTGGGAGACATTCATGGCAACTCCTCGGGGTTTTATGACTTTGGCTGTTACTACGACGTGCAGATCTTACGCCTTTTCATCAGTTTTTGTGGTTATTTTTCATAATCCTTTGATCCATCCTCTGTGAAAGAGCCTGTAAGGGGAGAGGGAACATTTCTGGTGGATCTGGATCCAGAGGTTCTGGTTCATATGGAACCCCTCTGAGGCCCAAGGCTCAGTCCCTTCCATTGTAGGTCTTGCACTGATGGCTACAACTGTCCCTCGTGTCTCCTGTTAGGCTTTCTTCAAAGATTGAATTTGGGGTTGGTAACTTGGATTATCTGGTTCAAAAAGTTGCCATTTCTTTGCTTGAACCTCATGTTTTACTCATTCAGGGTTTCTCTTGTATATGGTGGTGAATATACATGGATTTCTGTGAAGGAAAACAAGACAGGAGATGACTTCTATCTGTAAAGGCAGAATCTGGGATGAGATTAGCTTTGGTAGAGGTAACACTTCTGCTGACAAAACTTTAAAAATCCTGTGGGTGATACAGAAGCATTAAAGGAAAGAGCAGCACTTTTTCTGGTTTCTTAGAAACTTTGGATAATGTACTGGAAATCCCATACATTTTCCAGTACAGACTTAATAGGCTGCTTTGAGTCTACACTGGACACTAAGCCCAGTCCCTTGCTGCCTTAAGAATTTTTAAAAATTTTATTTATTTCCATTTTTTTTTTCTTTTCATGTTAGGAAGATTGAGTGAAGTTCTGTATTCTGGCATAACGCAGACTGACAAGCTTGGTATGGCTGAATTAATTGCTGGCTGCTGTGGAGTTGAAACTATTTCTGGGATGTTTTTGAAGAGGTGTTCTTCATGAAATAAAAAGCACGCTTGGCTATCTGATGTTTGGGCCTACGGACAGCTTCATAATTAAAAGCCATGTGTGCATCACAGTGAGTTCCTATTTGGCTAGAGCTGGCTAATATTGAACAAAACTCCATTTTTAATGTTTTGCCATGTAGGAAATTCAGGTTTAAGACATACAAAAAGGGGAAGGGCATGGCAGGTTAGGCATGCTTTGGTTTTGCCTACATCCTCTGTATAGGATTGTTGTATTTAGTATATTTTATAGCGTTTTGTCCATATTATTGTGGTTTGCAAAGCCATTTCATCAAGGAAAATTTCCTGATATTTGTCAAGGTTAGTATTTTAAATGCAACTGGAATTAAAGAGAAAGCCTAAGGCTTTTTAGTATGATACAGAGATGTAAGAATTCTGTATCCTGCTGA